TGGCGTGGGTTCCGGGGGGTTCGTCCTCCCCGGGCTGCCACTGGGCTCCTGCCTTTTTAATAGCTGCTTTTAATTACACGCTCCGAGACGAAAGAGAAAAACCAAGCCTTCCAACAGATTTTATCTGCTGTTTATTTCCACAAATTGCTGCAGAAAAAAGCCCGGAGGGTTTTGATGGAGGTGGAGGCTGAGATAGCCGGCAACACGGAGGCTGCTGGGGCGCAGCCTTTTTAACCTCCCCTGCCGAGGCAGGTGCCGACACATCCCCGCAGCCGGCGAAACATGCTAACGCTCTGGAGGCTGACCGAGCAAACGGTAACGAGCTCCAGCCCCTCTTCCTCACGGGAGAAAAGGCAACGAAACCAAAGCGGCGCCTGGCTGCGCTTCCCTGCTCCAAATCCTCAGGAAGACCCGGCACCCCCTGGCTCGGGGGGTTGGCTGCTGGCCGGGCATGGGCTTGGCCAGGGAGCCCCACTGCAGTCCACTCTCTTCCTTCGTAGGTGCACCAGTACTACAGCTGCCTGCCCGAGGACAAGGTCCCCTACGTCAACAGCCCGGGAGAAAAATCTCGCATAAAGCAGCTTTTGCACCAGCTGCCGCCACATGACAATGAGGTTAGTAACCAAAAAGTGTCCTCGGACGTCTGTCAGGGACGTGGTTAGGGAGGGGACCCCTCCTGGAGTTGCTCTTGTTGGAAGTGTGTCTGGTCTTTCTCAGCCCTTTCTGGATTTTGGGTGGATTTACTTGGAGTTTGATCATGTTGCCATTTAAGTGCCATATTTGCTCCTTGCTCGGATTGTGTTGGAGGTGGGGAGGGACTTTTTCGTTCCTAAAGTTAAAAAATTTTAATTTGTCTTTCTTCGGTTCTCTGAAATAAAAGCACTTTCTCAGCCCTCAGAGGCTAAAGCAATGTCAAAAGTGGCTTGAAACGCTGTTGGGATCAGCTAGAGCCAGATATGAAGCTGCAAAAGCCTTTTCCCAAGTGCTGCTTCCAACTCGCCTTGGGAGTGGGAGTGCATGTGCCGAGGAGGGGTTCCACTCGGGCTGAACCTCGCAAACAGGGAGCTGGGAGAGCCTGGCAAACCAACCTTCTCATGTCTCACAAGAAAGACGCGAGGCAGCAAAACAGGTCCCATCTTTGACGTCCTGTTCTTGCCAGTGAGCACATTGGCTTCTGGTAGCCCACAAAATTTCCCTTTGTAAACAACAAAAACATTATTTTCGTGCTGCTTTCTGAAGAAGCCGCTCTGGAGAATACGTGCAGGTAACTTGTTTGATCTAGGGCTGATTTTAACGAGTTTGCCTGCATGTGGCTGAGTGCCACGGGCACAGCGTGGTACTGCCAGCGCCAGGGGAGCTCCGGGCAGGGGCTTCTGGAGGCACGAGCCTGCGTGTGTTTTCTCCACGTTGGCAGATTTTGCATCCAGTTTCCCCTCGTGCTCAGTTTTGCTGCTCTGAAAATTCAAGGTGTGCTCGTTGCTCATGTGACTAATCCTGCTCATCTTCATGAGCCTGCTCTCCAAAGTAACGGAGGCTGGATTGGACACTGGTGCTACACGTGGCTACCTTGGCTCTTCAGTCATGTTCTCCATTGAGATGCAATCAGCCAAGAGCTAAGCCTGCAGGATGAAAATAGCCAGGAAAACCTCAGAGTTTTAAAAGCTTTGGGGAAATTACATCGTTCATTATTTGTATTCTTTTATTTTACTTATTTCCTTATTACCTTCCAACACAGAGGTTTTGCATATGTGTGAACTTGATCCTGTGCTGGAAGAGTAATTGGAGTTCCAAAATAGCTGGAACTTCGTCGTTTACACAGTGAAAACAGGCTGCACTCCTGAAATGGCAATAAAACATTTTGAATCTGCTGTAAGACCTCTGCCATAAGGAGAAAGCAGGAAAACCACCGGTCTGGGTGGGACTCAGAGGACCCAATTTCTAAGACTTTCTTACAAACCTAGCACCTGAAAAGCAACCTTCCTCCTGCCCTTTCTTCTCATTTAGAAATTTTGGCTGAACCCTGGGATGTCTGAAGCCTAGACAGCAGTGTTTCTCGAGCTTCCCCAAATCCCAGGACAGAGTTTGTAAGCCCCGTGCAGAGGTTTGCAGAGCCCGTGGGACTGTGGCCAGGGAGCCAGGGACACCCGTAACTCTGAGCATCGCTCCTGTTTTTTAGGTCCGCTATTGCAATTCCTTGGATGAGGAGGAGAAGAGGGAGCTCAAACTCTTCAGCAATCAAAGGAAGAGGGAAAATTTAGGGAGGGGCAATGTCCGGCCATTCCCCGTAACCATGACAGGAGCCATCTGCGAGCAGGTGAGTAGCGGGTGATGGACTGGCTTGGGCAGGGCAGCTTTTTCATCACCCAAGCTCAGCACAGCTCACAGGAGCAGCACCCACCCCATGCAAGCTACAAGCAGCAGGGTCCGTTGGGGTGCATGCCAAGAGCACCCCACAATACTTGATGTGGAGCAGTCACGCCAGCTCCTTGCCACAAAATGGGAATGAAAAGAGATTAAGAGAGACCAGCAAGGAGCAGTGAATTAGCCCCTTCTCCTGCTGTGGCTCTGGAAGCAGCTGATGGGTGGTGGGCAGCAGCAGCTCACCGGCCCCCGTTAAACAGCGGCTTTTCTGACAGTGCGGTGGCCAGATCAACGGGGGGGACATGGCCGTCTTCGCCTCGCGAGCAGGACACGGCGTGTGCTGGCACCCTCCCTGCTTCATCTGCAGCGTCTGCAACGAGCTGCTGGTCGACCTGATCTACTTCTACCAAGATGGGAAGATCTACTGCGGCCGGCACCACGCCGAGTGCCTCAAGCCCCGCTGTGCGGCGTGCGACGAGGTAAGAGCCAGCTCGCCCCAGCTTCTGGCCGCTCCGAGAGCCATCCTGCCACGGGTGCTGCCTGTGAGGATGCTGTGAGAGGGATCCCCTTGCCAGCCAGAGAGTTTTTTCCCTCCATCCACCCTGGCAGCAGTGGGTGCGTTAGCACAGGGAGCCTCTGCACAGAGCCGTGCACGCAAAATACGGTGGCTTGGCTGTGGCAGGGGTTCATGAAAGTTTTCCTGGGGGTTCCGCTGAGCACCTCGGGGTTCTCTTAGTTGCAGTCTGCCTAGGGCTGTTCAGAGAGAGGTCCTCATCTGCACGCAGGGAGCCGGGGAGGCTTTCCGTGAGTATTTCCAGTAGCAGCACACCCCTGCACCGTGTGATTTTAGCCCAGCTGTGTGCAGTGGTCCTCCCTTCTGCTCTGTTCCCCCAGAAGAAGCCTCTGGTGGGATGAGTGATGTTTCCTACAAGACATACATGCCGAGCTGCAATGGGCTTGAACAGAGGTGATTAACGGGCTATAGGAAGCTGAACAAATGGAACAGAAAGAGCATATAGAAAACTGTAGAGAGTTGCCTCTGAGCATTTCTCAAGTGTCAATCTCTGTTTAACTGGTGAAGGAAATTGTTCTGGCTTTTAAAGTTATGAAAACCATAGTGTGGAAAACCATATGTACTATAAAACACCAGGTCCCATCTATGCAAGCGTGTAATAGTAAATATCCAAGGCTACATGAGCTTCAAATATAAAGAACATTGACGTATGTATCCAATTAAATTTGTAACGTTACCAGTAAGAAAACAACTCCTAACCATTCGACTGGCCCTGTTTCCTTGTGGCTTAGGCAGGCTAATTTTTTTTTTTTCATGTACTTTTTATCCTTGCAAATTCTTGTATAAGACTTTCATTCAGCTCATTCTTTCCCCTGAAACATCAGGTGCTAATTGTGAGAGAGAGTAATTCAGGGGTAAGAGGAGCTACAAGGGAAAAGCTTCTGGTGTGACCTGTGCCAGGGTGGAAAGCCAGGGAGCAGAGCTGGGCCACTGCTTGCTCCCACAGCTTGGCTTTGGAAGTGGGAATGGGGAGTACAAACAGCAAGAAAGCATCTGCTGGAACCACTTCAGATGGCTGTTTCACCAGCCTACCTTTAACAGCACTCTGTGCCTCAGTTTCCCCACCGATATAATGGCTGCTACTATCTTTATAAGCACACGGGCTGGGGTAGAAGCGATGGTGAGGCGCCAGCTAGCTCCATCTTCTCTCCCCTCCAAAGAGCTGCTGCTTCCCCTTGCGTTTTTGTTGATCCTTTCTACTCAGGTCCCCGTTTCAGAGACAGGTAAATGTGTTTCAGTAAGTGGCTGCTTTATTCTTCAGAAGTCCCCTGGATCGATAGGTTGTATATAAGTGTGTTTATTACCCTGATCGACCCCTGCAGCTGATGGATGGGCTTACGAGCACATTACTGTGAGCTCTGCCTTAACACTTTCTAGTCCAGGCCTGAACACAGTCCTGGGGTATTTGCCTTTTCATGGATTTCCAGATTTCCTTAAGAAGTGATGGGTGCTCCTGCCACAAGCCAAACCATGGAGGTTTCCTGTGCTAGACAGGATGGTTAGCTGTAAAATTTGGAGGTTGTATGAGCAAAGGGGGCACAGCTGCCCTGTACGGGCAGGAGATGGGAAGGTTGGTGCCCACATCCCAGATCCCCTCTCTGACTGACTCTGCTCCCCGTTTGTGCTTCCCCACCCAGATCATTTTTGCTGACGAATGCACCGAGGCCGAGGGGCGGCACTGGCACATGAAGCACTTCTGCTGCTTCGAATGCGAGACGGTGCTGGGGGGGCAGAGGTACATCATGAAGGATGGCAGACCCTACTGCTGCAGCTGCTTCGAGTCCCTCTACGCCGAGTACTGCGACACCTGCGCCCAGCACATCGGTACGTGCCCCCGCCCCCAGCTAAACCTCTGCTTGGCAAACCTGCTGGCAACAGGAGCTGGTGCATCGAGTCTTTAGCGATGACCTGAGGCTGCATTTGCCCCAGCCCTGCGGCATCCAGAGGCTCATGTCCCCCTCGCATCCTGCCAAGCAGCTAGCACAGTCATTTGTTGGGTTAAACCACTGCTTATCCCTTTTTTTCTGGTCGGAGAGGGGAGGACTATCAGACAGCAACCTCAGCAGCTGTTGCACCTAGTGAGAAATTTCTCTCGTCTAAGGTAAAATGTGCTTTTTTCCCTTTAAATCTCATATTCCTATAAAGTCCGTCTCTCTTGAGTCACAGATTGATCCCAACCAAGCTTGCCAAAGAACCTTCGTGAGTTAATGAGCTACTGCCAGAAAAGGTGCTTGTTCATTAACCATCATTATTGGGTTTGTTTGCCTTTTTTAATCAACCTGCAGCTAAACGTTCTCAGAAAGAAACAACACATCAGAATCAATCTCCATTTCTAGAACAGTGATTTCAGAAGTGTTTTACTCTGGAGTCTAGCTGCCCTCCCAGCACTTGGGGGGTGTAAAGCAGGTGAGCTGGGAAGCTGCCTCACTGCTCTCCCTGATCCTGTTTGCCACTTGGCTGAGCATTTGCTCGTGCTCGCAGGCGGGCAGCCCGTTCTTTGTCCGTGGAGGTGAGCTCACGTGTTCTGATCTTTCATAGGCTGCAGAGAAAGGAAAAAAACAAACCAAACCATTTTGCGCTTGTGCAGCAGCCAGATGGCATAAGGGGGAAGAATCGGGTCTTCAGCGAGGCACTTGAAGGACATGTTTGCTGTGACCTGCAGCACATCCTTCCCAAAAGCTCAGCTGTGGAACGGTGAAGAAGCAGCTGTTAATGCTTCTTGCTTGCTCCCTTCTCCCCTGCTTCCCCCATCTGCTGTCCTCCCCTCTCTCCATCCCTCCAGAGCCTGCCGATTGTCAGGTTTTGGGGCAAGATGCCTGTTGTGGTACAGATCTGCACATTTCTAGCAGAGGAAGGGCTGCAGCCATTTTGCTGCAAGTTGCTCGTAGTAGTCACTGAGCATTGTGCATAGCAGTCACATAAATCCAGAGGTAAGTGCGTGCTTAAGGCTTGGCTTGGGTAGCTGAAGCCTGGAACAAGGAGGCTTTGCTCTTCCTCTGTGAGATGGCTTCAGGGCACTGGAAGAGGAGCTGATAAAATCCCACCCACTGCCCTGTCTCTTGTCCACAAGCAGAACACTTTTTATATATAAATACATTTCACTCATCATAAGGGAAGAAAAAACACCCAATTACACTGAAGCAAATCTAGCTTGGAATAAGACAGACCATTACTGTTCATTTGTAGATTGGCAGCACTCATTCAGCCCCCCAGCAACACGGCCACGGTGGGTGTGCAAACACACGTGTCGTGCCCACGTGCAGTGCCCACCCCACCATGCTGGCCAGCCCACCCGTCTCTCAGGTAACCAGGGCTTTTGCCATGAACTGCAGCTTAAACAAGTGAATCAATGTTACAATTGAAGCCTCGGGAGCTTTGCCTACAGCTCTGACCAAGAACAATGTGCTCCTCAGGGTTTTGCTGGTGAGGGACAGGCTCTCTGCATCAATTCCTTGAGCCACAGGGGGCTGGTGCGGGCAACCCAGGAGATGTGTCTGGGTGCAGGACAAGGGTGTGTGCTCAGATCCCTGTAGCTGGCTTTTTCCTCTCCCTTTTGGAGACGGGGACCCAGTAGCTAAAATAAAATTAGGATAAGTCTGCAGTAGCAGTGAGTGACAGAGATGTCATCTGCTCTGTTACGTATTTAACCAAGGCAGCACAAGTTCCTCACTATGGTTCAGTTGGAGGCACTTCTTGCCTTTCTAAATAGGCAGCATATTATTGCTTTGACTTCAAGGACTTCTGGAGAACTTCTTGCATTCCTTTGCTTTATGATCGGAAATATCCCCATTTAATATGAAGTAGCTTGAGGCTCGGTTCTGCTGCCTTTCCCAGCGTTGAGTAACTCCTGAGCAAAGGCCTGCAAGGAATTAGAAACGGGCTTAACTTCACAGGCCAGAGAAGCCCTGCTGAAGGGCACCTGACCGCCGCGATGCACGTGAGCTGGCCCTCACACAGGGTGTCTTCTCCTCCAGGTATCGACCAGGGCCAGATGACCTACGACGGCCAGCACTGGCACGCCACCGAGACCTGCTTCTGCTGCGCGCAGTGCAAGAAGTCCCTGCTGGGACGGCCCTTCCTGCCCAAGCAGGGGCAGATCTTCTGCTCCAGAGCCTGCAGCGTCGGCGACTTCTGACTCTGCTTTCCAGAGCGCACGAGCCAAGGAGTCCCGCCGCAGCGCCAAGATCGGCAAGAACAAGGGGAAGGGCGAGGAGGGGGCGCGCAGCCCGTGCAACCAGCTGCAGGTCACCTCCAACCGCCTCTCCACCGACGTGGACCCGCTGTCCCTGCAGATGGATTTGCTGAGCCTGGCCAGCCAGACGCCAAGCCTCAACAGGGACCACTTGTGGAGGAGCCGGGACGAGCTCTATCACTATGGGAACAAAATGGAGCAAAGTCAGTCCCAAAGCCCTTTGCAGCTTCTCAGCCAGTGCAACATAAGGACCTCCTATAACCCCAGCCAGGTCCCGGGCTCGCAGCCGGATTTATGGGCAAAACATTTCAGCAACCCAAAGAGGAGCTCCTCGCTGGCGATGAAGAGCCACAGCGGCAGCTTCATCCAGGACTGCAGAGAGGACTACTACTCGGGGAGGCTTCGCTCGCAGGAGAGCTACAGCGACATGTCCAACCAGAGCTTCCCCGAGACCAGAGGAAGCCTCAAAGTCCCCAAGTACGAAGAGGAAGAGGAGGGGGGGATGCCGACGCCACAGTGCCGCACCCGGCACCCCATCAACGCCCTCAAGTTCACGGACGACCTGACGCCCACTGAGCAGACTCCCCGTGGCTCCATGGAGTCCCTGGCGCTCTCCAACGCAACAGGTACGTCACCCTGCTCCCGTCGCCCTGCTCCCGTCGCCCTGCTCCCGTCGCCCTGCTCCCGTCACCCTGCTCCCAACGCCCTGCTCCCGTCACCCTGCTCCCGTCGCCCTGCCGCCACGCCGGGGCCTCCTCTGTGCCGTGACGTCCCTTGGGTTTCACGGCAGTGCCGTGGGGGGTGTCACCCCATTACTGGGGTGACCAGCAGGTCAGGGACCACCACTCAGTGCCGTGGGCTTCCCTGCCCGGCCCTGGTGTGCCAGGCAGCCCCCACTCGCTTGCTTGCCAAATGCAGGCCTTTAGAGAAGCCTGGCCTTGCGGGTACCTCAAAACAAATGTTTTCAAGCTCTTTAATCCTCCCTTTTGTGAAGAGGGGAGAAAAATCAAGGCCAGCTGCTAACAGAAGCAGATTCCAGCTTTTCAGAGCTTGAAGAACTGCTGTCAGCTGCCCTTGTGGGATAGAAATATTTTTGAATGCTTTGAAATAGGCCCTGTTAACTCCTTTTACGTGTAACTCAGTCCTTGAGCACTTGACTAGTTAGAAGAAATTCCTCCCCCTCTATGCACGGCTCTTCTTCACCCCTTCCTCAATCCTCCAGTACAAGCTGTGCGTAGAGGGGGTGCTTGTGCCTGGCGAGGTGCTTGTCCTGTCAGGCTGAGCTCGTTTACCTGAGCCCAGAGTAATGTTGCTCAGCCCTCTCACCCCAGACATGTTTGGGTTTCATTTTGTGGCTGCGAGGTGGGTGTGCATGCTCGGACGTGTCTGTGGCAGGCTCTGGTCCACAGCTGGGTGCTGGGCAGGCTCAGCACCCCGCACACAGCGTCCTTCTGCAGCCTGCTGCATTATAGGGTGGCTGTGCTCCTCTGGCACAGCCATCACTTGCTTCTGAGTCCCTCAGCAGAAAACGTCTTGGAACAGAAAATACTGAGCCTGGTTTGCTCACTAGAGATACCATCCTGCTTTCTCTGTGCTGCTCCCCTGGCTTTTCTCTGTTCCAGCCAATCCAGCTTGGATTCGGGTGGGTCCTGCACCTGCCCCCTGCCAAATTAAGCCCGTCTGTCTTGCTGTCTGTGGCAGTGACTGGCCTGCAGGGTGTTTAGCACCCAGCCCAGAGGCCCCCAGGAGGTGCTGGCATGGGTGGTGGAATGCAGCAGCTGAGCGTTGCTGGCCCCGAGAGCTGAGCCCCGCGGGACCCGCGTCTCCGCACCCCACTCCGCGGCTGCGGTGCCTGTGCCTGGGGAGGCTGCCAGCCCTGTCTCCAGATGGGAAATGATCTCTGTGTTCAGCCAGCATCTCCCTAACAGGCAAAGTGGTAAATTTAGCAAGGGGCAGAGGAGCAGCTAATGAGCTGGAGAGGTTTTTGCTCAGACAGCCTCAGACATACACGGAGGAAGAATGGATGTGAAATGGTGAGGGAGCTGGGGATTGCCCTCCCAAACAAGGTTTCCCTAAGCAAAGTTCACGCTTCCAAAGCTGCTTGTGTTCTTAAAAACTCTTGTTGTGTAAACCCCATCAGTACAAAGAGTCTTGAGCAACACTGAGTTCTGATGAGCAATCCCTGAGTATTGGAGGGATTGTTGCATGCTTTGGAGCTGAAGTGTAACAAGTTATTTGGGATACAGGTCAAGAGATGGGAAATGTGGAAGGGCCTTCATATTAGACTAAAATTCATTCTGTTTTTTATTTTGGAAAATATTTTTTAAAGTGCTGTGAAGGAGACTTTCCAAAGGCATCCATCCTCCATATGTAGCCAAAATATGAATTTCCTTTACAGGCAGTGCCTGCCTTAACGACTCTGTTCTTCCCTGCTTTCTGGAGCAGATGCTCAGCATGATGGGGCTTGCAACAAATTTAAGCAGTTGCTCTGCAGAGCAAGGTGATAACATTTTTATTAATGTGTAAGATTCTAATAATTTCCCTGCTCTGGGACCTGGCTCAGCATGAGCTCTGAGGCACTGTGGCAGTAACAGGCAGCTCCCCTGGGGCCGTGTGTGCAATTATAGAGGACACAATTATCATTCCATTTAATTGGCAGCGTTTTGAGGACAGTGAGATTCAGTGACCTGGCTGAAGTCTGTGAGAGAGCAGGTTTTTGGTGGGGGGTGTCAGGGTGCAGTACCCTTTTGCCCAGCTTTCTCATCCCCACATCCATCACCCCCTGCAAAGCTCCCCCCGTTGCAGCCCAGGGGTCTGGGCCCCATGTCCTCCACCCCATGCACCCCAGCTCTGCTTTGCAAAAAACTCCTGGGCATCCACATAGAAGGTCCCTTTGAGCTACTGATGATGCACAGTTGCTCCACCTTATAAAGTGAAATAATTAACACCACATCCATCTAACATTTTATGGCATCACTGCAAACATTCTTTTTTTTATAGGGAGCTGAAGGGCAAACAGTCCCTGACCTGCAGAACACCCATTAAAAGCTGGTCCCACCCCGGCAGCAGACTTTGCTGTGATGTTTCTATTACAACGTAACTACTAATTAGCTGGAGATGTCAGTAAAAGCAGAAAACTCTTGGGCTGTGCAAGGCTAGTCCCCATCCTCTGCTCAGAAGGATGCCTCCTGTGAACAGATGTTGTCCCTATGATATTTCTGTTTCATTCGGTGTTGGACCAAGGGATACTCATGGGGTGGATCAAAGTCTGTGTGACCCAAGTCTCTGGCCAGACCCCAGGTTTTCACCTTCCCAGCCAGGCTCTACTTAATCACTTAAAGCCAATTCCTCACGGGTTAGTAAAGAGGGGTAACACCGTGTTAATCCTGGGCAATTCCCTCCAAGTACTCGATTGTGCTCGCTGTCCCTCGGTGGGACCAGCAGACACAGAGCTCCAGAGGTGGCTGTGACCTGCTGTGGCCTCTCTTTTGGGGTTTACATTAGATGGGAGTGTCTCTGCATCCTCTGGTTTGTTCTTCTGTAATTGCCACAAATGCTGATGTGCTTTGAACATGTCCTCTGGCAAAGGGCAGAGTTTCCTGCTGGTGGAGGGCATTTCTCTTTTCCTTCCACGTTTCTGTTTGAAAATCTCTTTTCTACCATCAACTGAAGGCTACGACAGACTCTGATCTGTGACAGCTTCTTGGAGACTGGGTCATGCCCATCATGTCCATTAGACGAAGATGCAAAGAGTAAAAACTATTTCTCAGCACATTTTCCGAGAGAGAGCTCATTTTTGCTGATTTTGTATTATCTTTTATAGTTTATTTCTTTTGGCTGCTTTTGCCTTTTTTTAATTTTTTTTTTTAATAGCATTAGCAACAATACAAAACAGTGGATGCTGTAGCAATGTTTACCCTGTAACTCCCTTCATTAAGCAATCAGGACAATGTGAAGATGGATTTTGTCCAGAAAGCTTTTCTCGAGGAGGAGCCTGAACCTCCCAGAGGTTAATCACTTCCCAGAAGAAACTCAGTCCCTCACAGCCCTTCTCCCCATGCCTGTGCTCTGCCTTGCTCTGTTTGTGCTTTCGTTGCCCTCTCAAAAGGTTTTGCAGGTGCTGTATGTGCCTAGCAGCTGAACTGGAAATCAAGAGGTGATGTCTGCTGATTCCAAGGAGTCATTTCCACAAAAAGCCAGCTGTTCAAATAGCTCACTTAAGAAAGTACCTGCAGGCTAAATGTTATTCCCTGGGAGCAGTCTTTTTGTGTGCAGCTTGCAGAGAGCAGGAGTGCTTTGGGGGGAGAAGCTGTGCTGAGCAGTGACACTGCGGTATGCGAAAGGAGGAACAGATTTTAAGTATTCTGTGAGAGGATGAGTTAAGGTGAGGGTAAGAGCCTCATCTGTCACAGGCATAAATCCAGGAAAAAAAGATGGTAAATGGGTGGAATGCGATTTCACTTGTATGGCAGACATTTCTCCTGTCACCTGTGTTGTGAGATGCCCAAAGGTCCCAAATAGGTCGTTTTTCCAGGATGAACCAGCAATGATGATGTACCCAGAAAGTGGAGGGAAAAAACATATGAATATGCAGGCCAGGGTTGTATTTTCCAGAGAACCATTAAATAGCCCAGCCTTTTCTGCACCGAGGGCTTGGGAGCAGCTCCTGAGCACCCTCAGGGATGGCAGTGAGGGGCTTGGGGTGTCAGGGCTGGTCCCCATCCCCGAGTCCTCAGTGGCACTGCAGCCCACGCGTGCTCCTCTCCCCCCAGGCTGGAGGGCGGCTGCCCCGGGTGCTTCAGTTGAATTACACAAGCCACAAAATGACACATTGGCTCTTCCTGACATTTTCTAAGAAAAAGGAGGCTCCCAGCTCTCCAACATGCTCCTACCACCCTCCTTTCCCCAGACACAAGCAGTATAAATCTGCTTCCAAGTCAGAATATGGGTTCTGAAGGGGAGGATTTCTTCCAGTTTTGAGACCAAGATATAGCATTCCCCAATCCAAGCTGGGTCATTTTGAAACCAAACGTGTTAAGATAGAGATTTTCCGTCCAAAAGGGCCAATGCTGAAAGGTTTCAAAACTGCCAGGAACATTTCTTCTCCCCCTCACCCACCTTTCACCACTCAGCAGCGGGAGGTTTGGCGTGCTTGCCATGGGGGCCAGCCTTCACCCCTTTGGTGTCACACATGGATGTGCTGAAGCAAGTAGGGTATCAAACAAACCAGAGGACTTTTGGAAGGAGATGTTGGGGAAAGCAATAGCACATCATCCCTGACCTGATGTGTTGGCCATCCTGCCTTGCCTGGGTAAGGGCATAGGAGCTGGTGGTGCCAACAAGGGCAGTTGCAGGGGTGCTTCTAGGTTCAAATCCAGCCCTTTTCCCAGGCAGCACCCAAGTAGGGACTTCTTTCAGTGAGCTGGACCAAGGGACCGATCAGTGGGAAATATGCCCTGACACCCTTGGGATGGCACACAGGGGCACACCGTGGGAGGCTGCCAGCACCGTGACCCACCTGGCCGAGCACTCTGCTCTCCCCCAAACTGTTTACTTTCCATGATTTCCACTTACATGAGGGTTCTGCTTTGTTTCTGCACACCCCGAGGTCTCTCAGAAGTGAGAC